ATATGTAAGGTCTGTAAGGTTTTTATGGCTGCTGCAAGTGGAAAGCCAGTAGTAGAGAAAGGCTTCGCAGCCTGCGCTGCAGGAACCTTTGTTTTAATGCCTTCTCTTGGAGTCCCCAAATGTGCTGCTTTGCAGATGTTTTCTGGGGCAGCTGCTGCTGCAATGTTTATGTTGCCTGTTTGCTCAAATTCATTTTAAAATGTTGCACCTGCAATTTTCTTCTGGGCTTTTATATCATGCTGGGTTGGTTCTTAGGACTGTGGTGCAGTGGGCTCAAACCACGTGTAGCTCGTATAGAAATGCAAAATGTCTATTCAAAAGAGCTTCTTTAAAAACAAAGAAAAAAACCTTGAGGTCAACAAAGAAGTACTTAGATTTAAAAATATTTAATAAAATAAATTATCAATATTCACAATTCAGAGGATATTTCTAAAAATTCGCTTTAGAAAAGACAGTTTTCCTTCAGGGGATGTATTTTTTTTCATCTGTATGCAGTAAGGAAATGAGAATTGTAGGGAAGGCAGGGCGTTACAGGGAGGGTTGTCTGTGTGTTTATAAAGGTGTGTGGAAGTATTCCAGCATGTTTTGGAAGAGGAACTCTGATGTATCTCCCCAAGAATGTGTAAAAAATGGGCCTGTAATGCAGCAAAGTGTTGGGTGTGATCTATGCTGGAGCTCATTATCAACATATTTATTCTGGCGAATTCGGTGTAGAGAATGAGAGAACTAAAAAAAGAGAAAAAAGTGACAAGAAAGAGCAAAGGAATGGAATGAGAAGAAATGTGAGGGGACATTGCACTGCTTGAACCCACAGAGTGCCTACATGGTGACTCTGCACAGGTGCTGGTCTCCTTGTTCGTGCTGCTGGAAAGGGAGGCCAGGAAGGGAGAGGTGTGCAACAGGCTTCTTGTAGAGAATGGTTAATAAGCTGAAACCCTCCAGTCTTAAGGTCTCTTTGAACAGGTTGTAATGGGAACACAAGTCTTAGCAGCATGGAGTGAATATGAACTGATTATTCTCTGTTTTCTCCAGTGAAAAAAGACCAGCAAATGAAAGTGGCGGGTGACAGGCTCCAAACAAATGAGGTACTTTTGAAGTGGGAGCGTTGAGGTTTTAATCTGTTGGAGCAGTTCCCTCCATTTAGGCTGATTTGTTCGGCAGTTAATACTCCATCGGATCATTGTCCAGTTGCTTTCAAAGCTGAGCTCGAGAGCCCTTTTCATAAGAGAAATCCTTTTGAATGTTAGAGTAGAGCTATGAAGCCTGGCTGAAACAATGCCTCGGATCATTTTTTCACTGTGCAAAATCAATGCAACTTTTCAACAAAGTGCTTTGGGGGGGGCGGAGCAAAACAAAAAAACTTGCTTGTGAACACTACTTTGGGGTTGTTACTGGAGTACTAAAACTTCTGTAAGAGTAAAAGCTGACGTGTCATCTTCATCTGACAATGTCAGTAGGGATGGAGGCACACACTTCCAGTTTGGGCAGGTTGTTCCAGCTTGAACTACTACAGAAACAATGCAACAGCATGACACCAACCAATGGCAGTAGTGTGATTTCTTGGTCTGGTCTGTAGGATTTAGAATAGGAGAGGCTGTGGCGAAGGTTTTGGTTTGAAGGAATCTTCCAGCACAAGTGGACTGATGTGTCCTTCATTATGCTCTTACTGTGTCATCTGTAAGGCGTCAGCCATTTTAAAAAGACATACGTCTACTGTTCAGGTGTTGTTCATTTGTGGCTCTTTACCTGTGTTTTTGTGTTCATACATTCACTGTGTAAGTTAATTTCTGGCCATTTTGCTCTGATTCAGCGCGTCTTGCTGAACATCTCTTGATTGTAAAGAGAGATGCTGCTGTGCACTCAAAAACTTGGACTGCTCGAGTGAGCTGTGCTTTGAGCTGCGCTTCAGTTTCGTTTTTCTTTCTGGCCTGGAGAAGCGCTTACAGTCCCAGAAGGGTTTTTTTGTTTGTTTGTTTTCCCAGTAGTTGAACAAAAGATGCTACCTCAATCTGCAGATCTAACATGGAGATATTGTGAGGTTGAAAGAGAAGAAATAGGGTTAATAAAGAGTAGAGATCGGGGTGATGGGGTCTTTTGGAGCGGGGATGGTGGTGATGGGGTCTCTTGGCAATTCCTTAATAACCCACCACTTTAAGGGCTCTTGTTTGCTGGGCTGCAGTGTGAGCTTGTGGCTGCAGCTCAGGGGAGGCTGGTGTATGCGTGCAGTGCGCTGCAGTTCTGAGCAGGGTTTGTCTTTGCTGGAGACTGAGCCAGGCGCCCGAGTTGCTGAGGGGGCACTCTGTAATAACATGGGTTATTATCATTTTACTTTTCAAGTATTACACATGATCCAGAGTAATTGGATTACTAGGGCTTAACTGCTAATGATTGTTTTCAGGTCTGTGTGTACTCTTAGACCCTCTCCAGCAGTCAGCTAAAACTCATCAGCTTAGATTGCTGTGAAGGAGGTTTGGAAAAGAATCCAGGCTTTGGTTCCAGGATGCTTGCTAAAACTAATATGATATTGTTTACAGTTGCATTTGTCATCAGCTAATAGCACAATACCACCTGACTAACAAAGTCTTAATCGCATCTTGTGGTATGGAGGCCCTTTCTTTAGAACGTTTTAAATCTTTAAGTGTTTCTTTAGAATTCATGGCTGTAGCATTGCAATACCAGAGGGAGAGTAGGGAACAATTTCTGCCATTTTCCATACACGTAAGGCATGGAGCCTGCCAGGGGGTGGGCAGAGAGATTGGATTAGAAGAAATCCAGAAATAACTGAGGCACTCGTTTTATTTCCAAGGTGACTGCATCAGCACTGTCTTCAATATAAATTCTGCCTAAAAGTTAGTATGGGAAAAATGTGTGCATAATGTTGCAGTGAGGTAATATTAAATGTGGGGATGCCTGCTCCTTCTCTCCAGGTGAGTGCTGGCAGAGAGTTGTGAAAAGGCTTTTGTAGAGTTGGGTGCTTTAGTCCTTGCTGTTCTGCTGAGGGCTCAGCACTGGGAAAGTCCTTCTGTGGACAGCGTGCACCAGCTTCTGGGAACTTGTCTCTGTTCAGAGCTGTCGACGTGTGTCACAGAAAAGGAGTTAGGCTTTGGTTTAGGCACATGTGTTACTTTGTGCTGAGCACTGACTTTAGATGTCGTCATGTTGGAATGTGTTTCAGAGGCAACATACTCATAATGTCTGTGACCATCAGAGAGAAAGGCACCCAACTAGATTTCATGGGAAGTGCACAAGTCCTGGCGGTGATAACCTCTTTGTTCAGAAAGAGAGCAGCATTTTAGTACACTGGGGAAAAAGCTTCAGCGGCATCTGAGAGACTCAGACTTACCTGCAGTGTGCTTTGAAGCATGGAGGAGGTAGCACTGGGTGCTGTTCCATTGCTCTCCCTGGGCACTGCTCCTGAGCTGCACCGGCAGAGACGAGCTTACACTGCACAGAGCCAGAGCAGCTCTTTGTGGTGTTACTCTGGAAACTGCTAAATATTGTTCAGAAGGAGAGAAGTCAAATTTTAATATTAAACCTGTTATTTTGACAAATTAACATCTGCCTGAAAAATCCACCAGGAGATGAATTTCTGCTCCGTCTCAGCCCTTAGCACAGAGTATCTGACTTGGGTACTTATTAACCAGTTTTAGAAAGTGAGATGTTAAGTAGTGCTGATGTCTGGCTGTAGCAGTTGTTGTTTTGGGCTTTCACTTTTCTTTTTAATGTGATCTATGATGTTTTCAGGTAAAAAAAAATCTCACTGTTTGTGCATCTACCTTCCACAACATAAAAAGGCATTGGAGAAAACAAACCAGGCTCTTCTTAGGGATTTGCAGTGGGAGCTGCAACAAGGGAAATTCCTATTGAATACAAGGAAATAATTTCCTTCATGAGAGTGGTGTGTCATGCTGGTGTTGACATGCTTAGATGTTTTCAAACGTTCAGGCTTTGAGGCTGCCCCTCCCTGGTGTAAGGAGGCAGTGCTGGGTGACCCCCGGGGGGTTACATGTGAAACCCATCTGTTGACTCAGCCTCACACAGAAGCAGGGTACTGAAGTGAAGTCACCTGTATTGGTATCTTCAGCTACTTCAGAAAGAAGTCTTTGTGTTTTGTTCAGGGCTTTGTTTGCAGTATTTAGATGTTCTAGTTGGAGTGTACATGGTATCATGGATTTCCAGGCTAAATGTCATTATTTTTAGTGTTTTTAATGGCATGATGTCTTATGTAGTATTTTTTAAAATCATCTTATGGTTTTTAAGTAATATGCCTTAAATTAATAAGCTTTGTGATGTGAAGGTTTCTTAAATGCTGATGCTGGGGAATGTTTTTGCTGTATCCCAGGTATGTAAGACTAAATTCCATTTGATAGGAGTCACCTTAACTTACATTATTATACTTACATATAGAATCATAGAATCACCAACATTGGAGGAGACTTCCAAGATCCTGCAGTCCAACTGTCCACCTACCATCAATATCTCCCACTAAACCACATCCCTCAATACGAGATCTGAACATTTCTTGAACACCTCCAGGCTCATTAATTCCACCACCTCCTTGGGCAGCCCATTCCAGCTCCTGACCATTCTCTGAGAATTACTTCCTAATGTCCAACCTGAATCTCCCCTTGTGCAATCCGAGGCTGTTCCTCTTGTCCTATTACTTTTCAAATCTCCTGAAGTTATTTACCCCTGAAGCTTGGAATAGTTGAACTTTGTTCTCCTGAATGGGACATTGTATCCCCACTCCTTGCTCCTGCTCCCACCGTGGAGCAGTGACTCCATTGCTCATATCACAGAAAGCAAACCTGACTTTAAGAAAAAAGCACAACCCTGTGAACTACAAATTCAGCAAGAATGAAAATGTGGTTTTAAATTGTTCTCTATGGTGAGTTTTAGCATCAGACATTTCTATGAGTGCAGAACCACCTGCTGTTGCTATGGATGCTCCAGCTCCCATGCTCTGTCTGTGTCACAAAGCACGCTGCTGTGGGATTTCTCTGGTGGTTTCAGAGGTGCTGCTGATTCCAAGAATTCACTGGGTGGCTGTGTTGGCTCTGCCAGTCCTCAGTGCCTGTTTTACACAGCGGCCGTTGGGTGAACTCATCTGTTCTCTAGTTGGCTCTCTGTCACGCTACAGTGTTCAGCCAAATGGTGTGGTGTGTTCTAATTAAAAGCAGATCTTCCAGTAATACTCTTCAAAGATTCATTCACACGGAATAACGCTTCCTACAAGTGCAATTGTAATGAGCCCTGCCCCAGTTTGCTCCTGAGAAGCGGGTCACTGTGTCTTTGAATGCTCAGTGTCACTGGACGGCGTTTGGCATGGGTACATCACAGTGAACATCATACTGCTCGGCTGTATTCATGCAGATATTTACAGAGTGCTCCCAGAGCTCCTGAGAAAGGGTGTTCGCCAGAGCTGGAAAAGATATGGTGAGTAGCTGCATCCCATATCTTTCAGCCATCTCCAAAATAAGACAGTACTGCCTTATCAAAGAGTTTCTGTCTGCTTCAGGACCTTGTAACACGAATGCCCATGCTGGTGCTGATGCATAGATATCCCTGACTACTTTTGTTGAGGGAGAACCACAAAAGCTGTAGTGAGTGACTGTCCTCGATGTTATACATACATGACTGTCAGCTTGGACTGCAGGGTTTGGAGCTGACATCAGAGATCATTCATTACACAGTACTGTGAGCAATCTATGTAACTTTCAAAGCAAACTTATATGGCATGCCCTAACTATACATACGTCTGTAGTCTGCACAACTTGGAGACTTTCTTATCATTCTTCTCAGCATGTTAATAATCTTGCATTTCAAGTTTTTCTTCTCTGGGAAAACAAAAACCATTTTCTTAGCCCAGATTATCTCAGATTGAAAAGGCAGTTGAGTCCGCAGTTCTGTGACATGACTTGAGCTTAATTAACAATTTTCCTGAGAGGCAGATTGTACTGTCACTCCATTCCCACTGTTCTTACCACGTACCTTGAGTGGATCCTCACGTTCTCATGATCTCCTGATAGACTTATTAAACTCCCTTCTTATTAAACAGAAATCTGGTATGGCAGAGCATCTGTGTTCTACCTGCTCACGCTGCAGTTGGGCAGGCACAGCACTACATGGGGCAGGGCTGGGTCCTGGCTGCATGGGGACAGTGGGGCAGGACAGGATGGGGAGCTGAGGGTTTGCTGTCCCTGTTCAGAAATGCTGAGAAGAAAATTTTGTTCCCTGCAGCAAGGCAGCTCAGGTTAGCAAGCTGAGTTCTGCCTTATATGCTGTCCAAATAGATAACAGCAGTCATGCTGTTCTCCCTCCCCATGCACCAGCTGGTAGTGCCATGGGCACGTACGTTGTTGACTCTGTGATTAAACCAAGCGCTAACCCTGCCAAAAAATGCAGGTTTTTTTTGCAACTGGTCTTTGTGCAGGACAGATTTAGAAAAAAATGTGGTGTGCAAGGAGCCAAAGGTGCATTTTCATCGGTCAGGTCACTGATCCAGGTGCAAACTACTCCAGAATGGTACAGCCTGCAGAGCGAGCAGCTCGCCTTGTTTCTGTGCTGTCAGCCTGGCAAAGGGAAGAGGAAGGAGTTTCAGCCTGGCTCAGGGATGGAGGGCAGGAGCACCGCTTCTGGCCGCAACTCACAATTGTATTAAATGAGTAATGAAATTACATCCTGAATTGATTCTTAGTTGCCCCATATCCATTACTGGCTTTAACTGTGTTAATTTGAGTCGTCTTGGTTCTGTTGGCCAGCTGCCTGAGGAGGAGCAGGACTTGAAAATTCAATGTGACGCACAGAAGGGTGTTTTCTGCTCGGAAATTAATTCATAGGCTGGAAATGATGGAGGGGGCAGTGGCAAGCAGTAACGATAACGTTGAAGTAATGACATTAACAGCAAAGAGGTTGTCCTTCAGGTGGTGCAGGCTGGGCAGGCAGCCAGGCAGAGCGCTCATTCAGGGGAGCAGTGCTACATGGGAAAGCAGCAGCCTTAATGGGAGGGAGGAGAGAGAATGGAGGAATAAAAAGCATGTATACCTGCACAACAGCCGTGTTAGCTGCCTGAGTGTGCTGGTGCCAGGCCCAGCTGCGTTGGTTTGCTGAGCAGCAGAAGTGATTTCATGCCCACTTCAAGGCCGGGTTGTCCAGGCTGGGCTGGATCACAATGTGCATGCCAGGAGGTGAGATCAGAACTACCCAGTGCATCTCCTTTCCTGATTAATGGGTCTTATTAAGTCGGTTCTAGGTTGCATAATTTATATGCGTGAATCAACGTAAAAAAGTTTAAGGTAGTTTTATTTTTAGAATGGAAATAACTCTAATAATTCTTCTTGTTTGATTTTCTTTTCCCATCCCAGTAGTGCTTCAAACAAAGGAGTTTAAAAAGATCAATCACAATTGCATTGCAGAATATGAGTGCTGAGGTCTGACTATATGTTGAGCTGTATCATGACTCGAGTGATGGTTCCTCCCACATGGCAGGAGGGCTCAGCCGGGTGTCAAGGCTCTGTATCTATGTAGAATACACTTCTGATCCATCATTTTCTGAAACACTTCACTCAATGGAATACATATTCATATTTGGTGGCTTTTTTTTTTATAATGTAAAGAGTCACAGTCAATAGGGAGCAGCATGGTTGGAACAAAGCAGTTTGAAAATAAAACTGCAAAAGGAATGAAAGGATCTGGTGGAAAGCAGGCAGAGCTGATTATAAGCTGCTTGAGAATAAGCCCCTGCATCAGCTGGGAGGTGGGGGCTCGGTGTGTGCGCTGCCTGTGCGTGCCTGGGAGCTTGGATGGATGAGTAGTGAGGTGCAGCAGCTGTAGTTACTGCTGGTGGAGAAGCAGCGGATATTTCCTCTGGGGCAAGAGTCCATCGGGTGAAGCCTCCAGGAGCCCTCACACCCCCTGGGAGGAATGTCTGGAGCTCCAGGGCTTGTGGGAGCAGGTGGCTCAGGAGATGGGAAAACGTCTTTGCACAGATCCATTCAAACGTGTCCTTCACCATGAGACTGGTGAAAATGGCTCTGGTTTAGTTTGAGCTCTGTGAGCTGCCGAGTAATGCAGATATTGCATTAGAGTAGTGCCACTGGCCGTTACAACGTGAGATGTCACCTGCATGAGCTGTATTTGTGGTGGCAGTAGGCACTGCTGCTTTTGTCTGTGATGAGGGAAACAGCTAGTTAAAGGGAGTGCTGCAAAGCTTGTGAAAGACAACCATGAGCAGAAAAGGTGCTGCTGGAGACAGGCATCTGCAACTTTTTCATAGCAGTAATCTGATATTCTAGTTCATACCTTGGGTATCCCTCCCTGCTTTAAATCTCTTTGGGCTGTTTTGGACAAGGGAGCTCAGCACGGTTTCAGTGCTTTATTGAGACTGCTCCAGGTAACCCAAAGCAGAATTTTCCATTTTTCTTCCATTCTTGCTCAGTCAGCTGAGCCTGTAGCTGGTGCCAGTGAATTCAGATGGTGACAGGAGGACATTCTGCGAGCTGAGCTCAGTCGCACATGTGGCAGTGGAATATTTCTCGTAGTTAAAATTGGACGCCTTCTCAGAAAGTAACAGAGAGCTGACCACAAGCTTCTTCCTTCCCAAACCATTGTTAAATATAGGGCTCATTTAAACTTGTCAGCAAGTATATTTTGCAGGTGACATTTCTGTCCTGGTGGTAGCCCAGATTCAAGGGAGGCAAAGCCATGCTGCTTTGAAAAGAAGCTGCAGCTGCACACACGCAGGAGCTGGTGCAGTGCTGGTGAAGCAGAACATGGCTTCTCTGCTTGGGTCACAGTTTGTGTTGGAGATGGAGCACCATGTGATGCGTTCCCAAAAATACATGAGCTGGAACACAAAAAATGATAACCTAAGAAAATATTTGAAGGCAGATTTGGATCCTTTGCCTGCTTTGCTAGGAGCTGACTGCATCAAACGGCATTTCAGTGCAAGGCATGGAACAGCTCATGCAGATGGTCATGCTGCTGGCATGAAGCAATGAGGAGGGTGAGGAGATGCATCCCATGCTGCTCACAGGCCTCAGAGACCATACATGAAGCCTGCTGCACTTATGATCAGTAGCCAAGCCTGAGGTCTTGCCCACCCAAAGCAAGGAGCCTGCCATGCAGCTCATCTTCCAGTGTGTGCATTGAGAGAGGCATGGGCTGGAAATCATAGTGAAAAGCTGTGCAGCACACACAGCTAAAGAATACAAGCGTGAGCCTGAGGAATGTGAGTGGCTTCCTCTGCTGTTGTGCTGGCTGCAGGTTTGGGGATTGTTCCCATCTGCCTTTGTACCCCGAGAGTGTTGCTTCTCTTTCCTATAGGGAGTGGGGGCTGTCTGAGAGCAGTGCTGGGAGCCCCAGCCCACGTGTCCTGTGCATGAGCAGTCAGTGCCTGGAGAGGAGGCTCCCAGCCACCCTGCTGCGTGCCAGCAAGGCAGCGTGTGTTTAGGTGTATCTAATGCCATGTTTTGTAGCACAGCTTGATAGCTGTCTTGTGTAATTTTCCCCCAACGTGACTAGCATGTAAAGCAGGAGTGTAACAGGTTATGGAGTTAACACATTAGTCACGCTGAGATGAATGAACAAAAAATTTCTGTCTCTGACTACAGAGTATTGTGACACGGAGATCCTAGAGGGTGGAGAGAACACCCAGGGGATGCCCAGCGGGTGAGTCCAGCCCTTGCAGCCTGTCACCCTGCAGGACATGGCAGCCAAGTGCCCTGAATGGAGCCATGGCACCTGCCAGCCATGTGTGGGGCACAGCTGTAGTGCTCTGATGTGAGCACACCTTCTTTTGCTTGGACAAGAAAAGGCTCCGGGGAGACTTCATGGTGGCCTTCCAGTACTTGAAGGGAGCATATAAACATGAGGGGGAACGGTTGTTTGCAAGGGTGGATAATTATAGGACAAGGGGAAATGTCTTAAACTAAGACAGGGGAGGTTTAGGTTGGATATTAGGAGGAAATTTTTCACACAGAGGGTGGTGAGGCACTGTTCACAGGTTGCCCAAGGAGGCTGTGGATGCCCCATCCCTGCAGGCATTCAAGGCCAGGCTGGATGTGGCTCTGGGCAGCCTGGTCTGCTGGTTGGCGACCTGCACACAGCAGGGGGTTGGAACTGGATGAGCATTGGGGTCCTTTTCAACCCAGGCCATTCTATGGTTCTATGATTCTATGATATTGAAATGATGGGAATTGAGAGAATCCCTATCTTGGAGTAAGCGCGTGAGCACGCATTTCTGATTGTATTTAGAGGTAGGTGGCTGCTTTCTATCTGAGTCTCACCTGCCTTGGTTCTCTGCAGCCTTCTGCATCCTGCCCCGGTGGCTAGGCTCTATGTTACTTATTCATCGAATGTTTTTCCTCAGTCCTTTGTATTACTGGTTTTCAAAGAGCACAGAATTTATTCCAGTGGGAAGCCTTTGGAAAGGCGTGGGTGGTTTAATTTGGGAGAATTTGTGGGTATTTATAGCCATATATAAATGGAGCAAAGAGAAGTACTTGCAAAGTAGGTGGTGCTGGGACGTTTTTAGAAAAATGTATGATTTATACATGGATCATTCCAGGCAAACCTTTTGCTTTGCTTGTAGCCTGTTTTCTATTGAACTTATCTGTATTTTGTGAATATTTGTGATGCTTTGTTGTGGTATTTTAAATTTATTTTCAGTTTATGAAATGACATGTTTGTTTCCTTAAATAACAGGTGCAGTAGAAGAAGAAAATGGGTTGTTTTCTGGGCAGAAGTGTCTGCAGATGATTTAGGAGGCATCTTAAATAGTGTTGTCCAAAGAGCAGACTCATCAGCAGGAGGTGTGCAGGAAGTCAATCACCACACACTCAGGAGAGGTTCTGCTCATTCATTCCAGGATTGTGCAGACCTGGGTCCCTGGTGGTTTCCCACAGATCAGGGACTCTGAATGGAACTATCTGCACAATATTTATATACAAAAGTTACGAAGTTAGTAATTTTCCAGTCTGCTCTCCTCACCATGCTTGGTTAGAGATTTTCATACAACTGTAGCACTGCTGACTCTATACTTCCTCAACTACACATGCTTAGGGAAGGGCTTTCACCTGCACAGGAGTCTTTCTGACCTACGGGTGTGATTTTTAGCATCATAAAGGCAGTTCAGCTACGGATTCACAGACTTTGGGCTTTCTTGCCAAGTTGGCAGCATCCCCAGAGTATCCTGATTAATGTTCCATTCAAGGCCTACCGGCTCTGATTAAGGATACCAAGTGTTTGTTCTCCTGATACCTCATACAATGGTAGCTCAGTTTGTTTAGAATCAGCCTTGAGCAGTTGGAGCAGATAATGGCCCAGCTCTCCCCACCCTTCACTTTGCCTCTGCATTTGTCCCGTATTGCCAGGTCCCTGTGCTACAGAGCACTCTCTCTTGAGAAATGTTAGTGACTTTCTCAGGCAAATGTGCCACTTTGCTGTGTTTCCAACCAGAAGCTGCATTGCTGTTAGCACAGTGCAGTGCCCAGGTGTAGTTACAGTGGGTAATGATGTAGAGCTGCTAAGCTCTCATGCTGGAATACAGTTACCAGGGTTGAGGTAGATCACAGTCGGCTTGCTAAGACCGTGGGTAGAGAAAGTGTGTGCATCTGCCTCCACATGGACAGGTTCAGATGAAGCCTAGGGGCTGTCACAGACCTTTTCCAGAAAGTTCAGTAATAAATAAATAAAATAATTTTTAAAAAAAGCTGCCAACCTGCTGGTAAGCAGAGCCTGGGGCCCTGCACCTTTTCCTTCAAAAAGCCTTTGAAAAGCTTAGAGCTTCTACAAAAGCAGAAAAAAAATCAGATTTTCTGGATGAACAGATTAGAGTAACAGATTAGAAAAGAAATCCGCCATTTTACCATTCAGATTTAATCATTCTGTAGGATTTGGGTCTCAGTTTGGCAATGTTGGTGGCCCTGCAGGAGGGCACAGCCTGCCCTGACCATGCTGCAGGCCTGCAGAGCAACCCTGCTGCAACCCTCATGCTTCCCTCCGGGAGCAGTGCCTTTATTTGAGCCCACTTGGTGCTGTGAAAGATGGAATTAGATCAAACTTCCTGGAGAGAGAAGAGACTGAGCCCAGCACCGCAAACCACAGCCTTCCTGCTGCTGCCCTGCCCTGCAAGCACGGGGCGGGTACAGCATGGCAGGAACACAGCAATCTGTTGGCTTAGCCCTGAGCCCCCTATTGCAAACAATATTTGGAGCAGGAAGATAAGCATCAGATTAGTTTCAGTGTAATGTTGTTTACTGTGTGCACTGCAGCTGCATCTAGAGACCAAGTATGAAACCGAGGTTGATGAGATGAAAGCATTTAATAATCCTTACTTCCAACATCTACTTAGTTTTTTATTGTTCTCATACAACAAATGATTTACAGAGTAGTGCATGTGATACACAAAGTCTCTCTCCGGACTGTGGGCGCTTCAAGCACAGATGTCCCAGGACAGACTGGTGCAGTTACTGCTCTAGGTATGGCTCAGGGGAAGCTTGGAGCAGCAGCTGGGAAACTCTAGTGAGTATCTATGGTTGATCTAGCACAGCAATTGCTGCTCAGAGTTCCCTGCTCATTGGAGGGGATAATCAGCCCCCCTGTTGTCCACAGACGTGCAGGGGGTGAGCCTGGACTCACAGAGGAATAAGTGCTGCAGGTAATTGAGCTTTGTGATGCTTGTTTGAAACTCCTTTGATGCCTGTAAGGTAGTGTGGGGTCCTTGTCCTGAATTTCTGACAGAACCAGGTAGATATTGAGCTCTTAACCAGTTCCAGGGTGTATAGAAATTGTTATTCCTTAGAATAAAATATCTCTGGTCTCAATAACTCCTTGCCACAACTAGAGCTAGCTCATCCTCCGGAGTCTGCTGTCTACTCATATAACCGTTTTTACTGATCTTCAGAGTAAAATATCAGTGTGGGGTAAGAGGATGTTTTACCTGCAAGTGAACTGGTTTCCTGGAAATTTCAGAACTGAACAAAAAATCAGAAAAAGAAAATTAATTTAGTTGCTCAGAGCAAAGGAGCTAGAAGAGAGGGGTATTGCTATGGCTGGTTTTCACAGGCAAAAGGCACAATGATTTGTGTTGGCCATGCTGGCTTCAAGCCACACCAGAGTTAGTCCTAGTGCAGGGGAATAAGAGAAGACCCAGCCTGTGCGCTGTGCTGTGAGGGAGGCCCTCCTTCCTGGGCAGTGCATGTGGCTGTGGGGTTACAGGGGCTGCTGCAGCACAGTTGCAATGCTCTTGTTCCACTTTTTTCTTTTGTGGTTTGCAGCAGTATCATGTTGTACAAAGAATTTGATTTGTGATGGCATCTGAGCCTTTTTCTAGCACACTCAGCTAGCATCCAGGAAGCCCACCACATGCCTATTCTCGTCCCTGCTTATGTCTCTGACTTCTTTATTTTACCTTAAGTAATATGTGCAGCCTTCCTAAACAGCGAAGTAGTCTGCAGATTAGCCCTCCTTGAAACACTCTGGCATTGTCAGTATTCATGAACGCAGTTTTTCACTCTGCTGATCAGTCATCTCAGTTCATTTCCAGGCAGCCTGTGGCAGTGTGTGGAAGTGGAGCCAGGCTTTCTGAATAAAAAGGCGTGAGCTTTCTAGGATGATTTCTGGGGGACAAGGCAACGTGCAGGGACACTGAGCAAGCACAACCATTTGCATGCATTCTCCGATTACAGATACTGCATGTAGTGCTGAGAACCAGCTGCTGGCAAGTTTCAGTTTGGGCATATGCGTGTCTAATAAAAGAGCTTGCAGCATTCTTTGCCCAGCATCTTTTGTAATTCTGTTGCTAACCATATGCGTTTGTTTCAGAATCGCTCACTGGCTGCTGTGAGGGTTAAGTGATTCCACTTACGGCGCCATGGATGAGCTGCAGGATGTTCAGCTGACAGAGATCAAACCGCTTCTGAACGACAAGGTAATGCTGGCTGCTCCATTGCTCTCACAGCTGGACTCCAACTGACTTTGTATCTACCAGGGAGCCCTGGTTGTCTGCTTATAGTTCGAAGTACCTGAAGCACTAAAAACAGTAATTGCTTCCCCAATCGGGTAATGCACCATAGTATGTCCTTCCAAAGTTTCAAGGAAAGAAGGACCACCGTTGTTCAAAGCAGTTTGATATCCCAGCCAAGCGGTGCATCATGCCAGTACTGGGCTTTGTGAAAGTGTGACAGAAATCAGAAAGGTGACACCATTCCTGGTGTGGCTGAGCTGTAGAACCTCTGGTAACTCCATGCTAGAGAAACCTTGGCTCGTAATACGTTTTCTTTTTTGATTTGTAATCTTGTCTTTCCAAACTATCTGTTTGCGGTGCTAGCCAACAAACAGAAAGGCAAATACAAAGTGATATTTCATTTCCTTGCCTCCATTTTGAAGTTACAGAAAATATATAACATTGTAGTAGGAAAAAAACTACACAGATGGCTCCAGAACTGGGCTGAGCTCTGCACGGGGATGAGAAATAAGCTGTGGCTCTGATCCTTTTAATTCTTTTAACAAAAGAAATGTCTCAGTGAGCTACCATCTCTGAGATCTGGTCCTCACTGATGCTTTCAGGCTTTGTGTAATACACACATATTTCTAGACATAGCTTATGGACTCATGCAGTTGATACCATAACCTGTTGTACTCTGCTGCGTATCAAAATCCAAGAAGTACTGAGCTGGCAGTTCACTCAGATTTTTGCTGATCAACCCAGTTTAGAGGTAGGATTTCATGAACAATTGATTTTGATGATGATGAATTGATGGCCAGAAATAGTACAGTAGGTGCTTGTGAACTCTTCATATGCAAAAGTTACTGTACAAAGAAAATGAGCTATGGCATTTTAATGCTCAAACTCTAAAAACAGTGGAATTGACTAGGATACAGAAGTGGGTGCAGCGTGGTGACTTAGTGTCTGAACTATAGGAAATGCTTCTGGGAAATACTGAGTCCCGACTTTGATTTGTCTTGAATCTAAGTCAGTGAAAGACTACAAGATAGCTCTTTCCAGGTAGCTCTTTGCCTTTGGGGTGCAGCCATCACACATTCAGAGGACTGGAAGATGTACTTTAACCTTAGATTTGATGATTTGCTTCAGTTTATGTGTCAGCACTAATTCTGTGTGTGTGTATCTTAGCATTCTTTGGTTTGTAACACTACCAGGAATCCTGCTTTTCTCAGCAGAAATTCTAATCAGCCTTCACTTCTTCACTTACCACAGACCATCCCATGTCCAGCACTGGATACAGAAGTCTCTCATTTCCTTATCCATTGCTTTTTTTTAGTTCTTATTCACTGTGGTCTTGGTGGACTGAATTTCTTCTTTACATCCTGGTAGATGAGGAGACTCTGCTGGCTGTGTTTAGCACAGCAGGGAAAGAGACATAGAGTGGTCAGAAATATCTTCTAATGTAGGATCCTCTCTAATGCAGTATCTCATGAGGGCTGCTTTTATGTTGTTTTCCTACATCCTGAGAATGTAGGAAACATCTGACACAGTTCAGTACTTAACACTTGGGGATTCATAGATCAGATTTGCAGGTATGTAAGACTTGTATGTCACAAACTTTGAAGAATGTGCTTAGTAACCTGTACTCTTAATAGCTGTGACGAAGCCTGGGAGGGGGAAGCAGGGCCATCTGTTTACATGTGGAAGGCAGTTAAGGGTACTTGGCCGTTAGAAGTGCTTGGGGTACTGTAGTTGGTCATACATGGCCCTACTTGTAATTTTAGCACTAAGGTGCAATGCCTTAGTAAGCTAGAATGCTGTCTCAGGTGGTTTGCTCAGCCTTGTGCAGTATCTGACAGCACTCAGTAGTGTGACCTGCCCTGCCAGGCTGTGCTGAAGCAGGGGTCTCCCAGGGGACCCTTAGTGGTGCTGTTGCTCTGTGTTTTGGAGTACTGTGCTAAAGTCTGTTTTCTGTGTTTTTTTTTTAACAGAATGCAGCTCGCAACTTCCAGGACTTCGACTGCCAGGTGAGACGAGCACATGTGCCAAGGATCTGTGGGCAGCCTTCTTGTGGCCTGTCAGTAATGGAAAAGTTGTGTCTTTATGTTAATTCCTTTTAAGGTTTAAGAACTTGAACATGTCTGTTTGACAGAAATAGCCCTTCACCCTTTCACCAGAGCCCTTACTGTGTGCTGTGAGGGGCAGGCTGCTCTGTACAGGCTCTGCAGTGGGCTGCAGAAGCCATTTCCTTGGAGAGATGCAATCTGCTGATGAGCTGCAGCTCTGTCATGTCCCATCTGGTTCACTGACTGGGAAAGGAGGAGCGTGCATGCTCTGCCTGTTTGTGTTGAGAGGAGATGGAAAGCACCAAGTGTTACTGCTGCCCCAGTTACAGCACCCCTGCTCCGCTGAGCCTGGGTCACAGTGAAGCTGGGCTCACTTTGTGGGGATTTTCTTCTCAGACTAGTGGGGAGATGAGCCTCAGCACTGCAGTTGCTATAGAAATAATTCTTTCAGAGGAGCAGTTGCATCACAAGCCTCCAAGATGCAGGATGCATCCTTGGTCAGGCAGAGCACAGTGCTGAGATGACGTGGTGCGCTTTATAGAGCACAGGCTCATTTCCCATTTCCCTGACTTGCCTGTAGTGATTACACAGTACAAGACAAGCACCCATGGCTGCATTACCCCAGCAGTGCAGCTGAGGGTGGGTCTGTCAGAGTCACAAGGTAGCTTTGAATGAATGTGTGCCAATGTGGATGAGTGTAGAAAACTTTGCAAGCCTAAGCAGAGCAGAATTGTAATAAGAAGACAGTATGTATTTTTTTCATCTCTTGGTATAGGAAGTTGCAAGAACATCCCATCTGGGCAGGCACATGCTCTAGCATGATTCCTTGTGACTTTTAATGTTATCCTAAAGTCTACAAAACTAAAAATTACCAGTCTTACCATTTAACTAGTGTGCAGTCTCAGAAGTGGTAACGGTGTTCTTTTCTGGCTTAAATAGGTTTTAATAAAAGAGTGTTTGAAGATAGGTAATGGGCTCGCAAAGCACTTTGCTGCACCATCTTGTCTCTGTATTTCTGCATCTTTTCCATCTCTGCTAAAGGTGGGCAGCAGGAGCCCCGGGGAGCCAGAGGGGCCCAGGGAAGCGTGGCTGGGAAGAACATGCCTGTTGCTTGCCTGTGTTTGATTGAGATCAGCAGTGAGCGGGTGGCCATGACAACAGTTGGGCAGGAGACGAGATGTTCCTTGCAGGAGCATCTTGGTAATTCATTTAGATGGTTTTTTTTTCCAGCAATAAGCTACATGGTGTCTCATGTGACTGCTGATGTCCCAGCCTCACCTTTCTCCAAGTTTCCTACAAGGTGTGGTTTTTGGGGCCATATCAGGGCTGGCTGATGCCCTGACAAATGTCAGAGCAGACAGCTGGTGGGATGGCTCCTTGTGTGTTCTGCCTCAGTGGCTAGTACAAGGAATGGTACTTAAACTTGGAAGCCCAGATCTCCTGTTGCCCTGAGCAAAAGGGCTTTTTGATCTGGTAAAGCACAGCCAGCTGCCTTGTTCAGGGCCCTGTGGAAGTGGTAGGATTTTTCTTCACCTGTGCTTCAGAAGGGGAAACTCAAAGTGAAGAAGGTTGCTGAGGCTTTCAGGGGATGGAGATCCTATTGTTTAACATAAGACTTAACAGATCTTGAGCAGGGGTATCATTTGTCTGGAGTCCTGCAGGGAGAACAGGTAGAAGCTGGCCACAGATTGCTGAGGGCTGATGTTCCAGTTCCAGCATAGAGATGTTCACCATCAGCTGTAGCATCTGCAAGGGCCCTGTCTGATTCTGAAGCAGATTTTAGAGGATTTGTGGGATGGATTTATATTATCTTACATGATGTATTGTTTGCACTGGAAAAGCATAGCATCAGTGATGAAACACTTGCATTTCAGGCCTTTTCACTTTTCTAACAAAGTCTAAACCTAGCCACTTCAAGTGGAGATAAAGCACTGTCTGTGCCTGGGCTCGTAGCTCATTTCATCATTTGGAACTTGCTCATTTTCACACAAGTGAAAAAGTCACCCTCAGCTCTGATCCAGTGAACAAGGCCGCTCTTTCACACATTGATTTTTCTCGGGTTCTATCAGTGGGTGGTTTGCAGGACAGACCTGCAAGCAGCAGCCCTGCAGTGCGGGTGAAGGAGCTGAGCAGGCCCAGCACTGTGGAGGTGGCCACATCCTGGGCTGTGCTCAGGCTGCTGGTGGCCAGCAGGGCTGCTGGGAGCAGTGCTATGGTCAGGCTGGAGCCCACCCAGCAGTCTCAGGGCCTGTTTGTCCTGCAGTACCTCTGGGGCTCCTTCTGGCAGCTGGAGTTACAGAGCATTTTCTGGAGTTGGTCAGTGTTTATGACTGAGAGAAGTGTTTAGTTTGATCCCAGCTGATGAGTGTGCAGTTGGCCTGAACAGTGATTCTGGGAGTTGTGTGGTGCCAGGCACACGGGTTAGGGATGCTGCTTTCTGTAAAGCTCTGGCATGTCTCACCACTTCTCCTTCGGAAAAGAATGGATGCTGCCATTTTGAAGTTCTATTAATTTCCCAGTGTAATTGTTTTCAGTTTGGAGCAACTTGCCAGGACTGGGTCTGCATAACCTAATGCCCACTGTCCATCCCACTTGACAGCAAGGTGCTACCAACACAGCCCTCTATAGAGCAAACATCCTCTTGCCTCTGAAGTTTGTTATTCTGAGTTAATGTGGGATGAAGAAGGTTTTAGCTTGGCTGCATCACAGTGCAGATACAGGTGCCCTGGCTTTCTTGTGCTGTTTATCTACAAGCAGGTGCAGTTAACCATGACAAATAACAGATTGCCTGGGCATCAGCTGAAGCAACCCCCACATAATCTGATAACTGTTTGCAGTGGAGATAAAGAGGAAAGCTAGCATGGTGGCTTAGGGGTCTTTATCAGTATGAATCTAGGTTATTCTCAGAAATAAAACATATTAACCTAAATTTGGGACCTGCATTTTGCTTGAAAGCTATGTGTACCCTAATGAAATCTATGTTTGGCTTCTTCTAATGTTAGTAGGCAGATGGTGGATTAAATGCTCTGGGTTGATGATGGACAGATGGTGTGGTGACCTACACGGTTAATAGAGTTGTGCTTGTGCTTTGTGCTTTTATTATTATCTACAGACCCTCTTTAGCTGCTTTGAGGTGTTCTGAGTTAGTCTCAATCTCTTCCCCCTTCTCCAGGTGTTTTGCCTAAATACTGATGAAGGAATACACTGATATTTTTGTAAAATTAAACAAATCAGTGTTATTTTTCAGTCTGACATAAGCTAGTATTTAACTTAATCTCTAGCTAGTACTTTGCCGCCCACAGGAAGGGAGAGAAGTGTTTTGCTTTCTAGCATGCACCAGACAGATGAGGACCTGAGGTGTGGAGAGGGATTTGGGTTTTGGCAGAACATTTGCAGAAAGCTCACGAGGTATGGAAGAGGTGGGAATAAGAAAATCCAGGACATGCATCCAGGACATAGTTCAGCTGAAACAGAAGAGGCAAGACAAGTACAAGCCCACAGGGCAAAGAAAGCTCCCCTGTATAACAACTTCTTGTTGTGCATTGCTGGAATCAATTGGAATTGTAGAGGTACTTGTTTTCCCATTGGCATAGGCAATACTACACCAAAATGTTTGAAATTAATGACAGTTTACTGAGCAATTTTTTGTCACTTTTCTCTATTGGAAGGTATAATTTTTCAGTAAATAAATAGCTGTTTCTACTGATTTTATTTTGGTGTTTTCCCACAAATACATGTGTTCTAAGCTTTTCAATCTGGATTTTTAAAAGCTTTCATATCCTTGCCCAATGTCTTTGCTTTAATTTTGCTTGCTGGTGCAGTAGGAAATGATGTTGAGGGGTGATTGGAAAGAACACATCATGTGCAGTAGCTGATGTCATAGATACTGAGTAGAAACTTCATAAAATCATAGAACAGCTTGGATTGGAAGGAACTTCACAGCATCCCAACCCTGCCTGTGGGCTGTTTGCCACCCACCAGATCATAGAATCATTAAGGTTGGAAAAGACCTCAAAGGTCATCTGATCCAACTGTCCACCTACGATATTGCCCATTAAACCATGTCCCTAAGTACCACATCTCCACGTTTCTTGAAAACCTCCAGGGACTCTTCCACTGGGCAGCCCATTCCAATACCTCACCACTCTCAGAGAATAAGTCTTTCCCAGTATCCAACCTTGAGACTCCCCTGGTGCAATTTGAAGCCACCAGTGTCCTGGGAGCAGAGGCCAGCCCCCACCTTGCTGCAGCCTCCTTCCAGAGAGTTGTTGAGAGTGATGAGGTTTCCTCTGAGCCTCTTCTTCTCCAGGCTGAACCATCCCGATTTCCTCAACTGCTCCTCGTAGTCTTGTGCTCCAGACCCCTCACAGCTCTGTTGCCCTTCTCTGACACACTCCATGGTCTCAGTGCCTTTCTTGTAGTCAGGAGCCCAACGCTGAACACAGCGCTCGAGGTGCGGCCTCACCAGTGCTGACTGCGGAGGTCCGATCACCTCCTGCTGGCTGTGCTGTTTCTGACACAAGCCAGGATGCCATTGGCCTTCTTGGCCACCTGGGCACACTGCTGGCTCGTGTTCAGCCGACTGTTAACCAACACCCCAGGGCCCCATCTGGCCTGGCCTCAAACGCCTCCAGGGATGAGGCACCCACACTTCTCTGGGCAGCAGTGCCAGGGCCTCATCCACCTCTGAGTAAAGAATTTTCTCCTCACATTTGACTGAATTTCCCTTCTCTTAGTGTGAAACCATTCCCCCTTGTCCTATCACTATCAGACTGTAAAAAGTTGTTCTCCTGTTTAGAATCTTTCAAGTACTGGAAGTCTGCAATGAGGTCTCCCTGGAGTCTTCTGCAGGCTGAACAAGCCCAGCTTCCTCAGTCTGTCTTTGTAGCAGAAGTGCACCAGCCCTTTGAACGTCTTTGTGACCTCCTCTGGTCCTGCTCCAACAACTCCACATTTTTTTG